CGCGCGGTACATACAAAGAGGCGGGGGGGGGGGAACCGGGGGGGGGGGGGGGGGGAGGGGGGGGGAGGCGCAGTGGAGACAAGAGAGAGATGGGGACCACAAGGATTGGAAAGGCAGGCAGGTCTGAGTCAGATCGGCCCCCCCTCTCCTGCCAGCACAAAGCCCTCTGGGGCTCCAGCGCAGAGGGGAGGATGACGCCAGGTCTGGAGGACCACCCCTTCTGGGACTTCAGAGTGCCATCTGGTGGCAAAGATGGGAACCAGTGGGTACTGAAGGACCTTGGAGCTCAAGATGGTGAGCACAGACAGCACTTCCCTCCCCGTCCTAGACAAGTGGCTGACATGAGAAGTGTTCAAGAAGGTGAGTAGCCAAAGCTGCATTGTCGAGAGGCTGGACCCAGGCTAGGGGAGGCCAACCAGCAGGTCAATAAGAGCAGAAGGAGCCTAGTTCTTCACTACCGCCGCCTCCTTCCTCCTGTCATCACTGGAGCAGGGCAAGAGCAGGCCTGACATGCGCTAGGCGACAGCATGCAATCTGAACCCCAAGAATTCCCATCTAGCTCCTTCCCTGTCCCTTGATGAGCCAAACCAGGACCACCTGCAACCCTTCACTCGAAAGGGGCAAGTTGAGAAGTGGAGGGTGTCTCAGGCTCTCTCTACCATCCCTCTCACCAGAGGCCTCCAACTTTACCAGAAAAATCAAGGTTATTCGCCATCAGCCACCTCCAAGTCCCTCTCCCTAGCCCTCTACTCTCCTCTTTTTGGTCGGAGGAAGACAGAACCCTACATCTTGCCAAGGCCAACCTTCATACTCGGGCTCCTGATCTCTTATCTATGCAAAGTGCTTTGCAAACTTTAAGCCACACAAAAGTTGACTGCCCACCCCCTCAAGTCCCCAACCTTGCCCTGTAGCCTACCACTAATTCCCACTGCCTTCAAGCATGTTTTGGTCTCCTTGACTCAACTCTGCCATGCCCTTAAGTTATCATCCACCTCTCTCTTCTATTCCACAACTAAACTCATGGAAAACGTTATCTTTATGATAGCCAGGGGCTGCAAAGTGGAGGTGAAGAAGCTGTTCTCCCCAAGGTGACCAGCAAGTCCAAGAGCCTTTCTCCATCTTCTTTCTCTTTGACATTGCTTCTGCTGCTGTCAACCACTCCTTCCCCCATCTTCCACAACAATCTTCATCTGGTTCTCCCATTACCCAACTGTTCCTTATCTGTCTCTTTCCCTGGACCATCACCCACCTCCCAACCCCAGGGGGTGCCCTCAAGGCTCTCTCCTGGGCCTCCTCTTCATTTCCTCCCTTGTTGAACCCCATGGAGCTCTATGGGGATGACTTCAAAACCCACACAGCCAGCCCTAATCTCTCTTCTAAATGCCAATCCTACACCATCAACGACCATGGGGATGTCTCATCTCTAACCCTCCCCCAAACTTCCCTATTTCTGTTATGGACACCACCCAGTCAACCAGGTTTACAATCTAGGAGTCTTCCTTGACTCTTGATTCCCTGTCGCCCCCCCACATCTAATCAGTTGCCAAGCTTTATCAAGTCTACCCCCACCACCAAGTCTCAATGTATGCTCCCCTTAGCTCAGGACCCCATCACCTCTCACCTGGACTATAGTAACAGCCTCCTCTTTGGGCTCCCTGCCTCCAGTTTCTCTCCTCTCTAATCCATTCCCCACACAGCTGCCAAAGTACAGATTCAATCACATCAGTCTTCTACTTCAAGATCCCTAAGGGCTCCCTAATACCCACAGGACAAAATGCAAGCTCTTTGTGCCCTTCACAATTGGGCTCCAACATACTTTTGCAGACTTGTTTCCCATGACTCCTTTTCTTGTACTCTGTTCAGCTCGACTGGCCAACTTGCTAGTTCCCAAACATTCCACCCCTCTTCTCCATGCCTCTGTATAGAGGCAAGTTCCCCGGAAATGTACTCCCTCCTTCCACCTCCGCTCCTTAGAATCTGGAGCTTCCAGCCAGGCTCAGCTGGGACACTTCTCAAAGGGAATCTTTCTAGTCCCTCTGGCTGTCCTCTGCACTTAACTTGTTTGGAGGTTCCATTCCCCAATACACCCTGGGGAGAGGGGCACACACAATGTCTGCCACTACACAGTAAGTGCTTACTGGCTGTTGGGTGAGTAGTTCTCCAGTCCGGCCCCAATTTTACAGATGGAGACACTAAGGGGGAAAGGGGGTGTCCCAATATAGCCACCTTTTCCAATGTACAAACTGGAAGAAGCCAACAACAGAAAGTTGGTTGATAACATCTGCTGTTATTGTTGTTTGTCCTTCTTTCTTGAGGGCATCATGAAGGTGATACCATGACTTGCAAGTGAATTGGATTTGAGTGAGGGAAGGCTGTGCAAGGTCACCAACTTCACTTTCTCCTCTGGAACTATTTGGGTCCGGTGACAAGATATAGATCAGGACAACTGGAGATGGCCCCAGATGCAGTGGGAGACTTTGGCCTTACTTAACTAAGGTCTTTCAGAGTTGTCACTTTGACTCTGAGGCAACACCCATTCAGTGATTAAAGCTAAGTGAGCTAAGGAATGGCCCCTTTTATCTAATAAAAAAAAATCAATAGGAAGGGGACAACCCTCAGAGTTTCTGGCCAAAACAGAAACATTTACTATTTATATACATTCTGAGCCACCAGGACCCAAACAATGACCACTAAGTGGTGGTTGGGCTGGGACCTATTGTTGGCCAATCAATGAGAGCCAAAGTGAACTGGGTTTAAGGCATGGTCTTTAAGAAAGAAATCTAGCAAGCAAACACCAAGATATCTTGCTGGGTTTCAGCCATCAAAATTTACATTCCTTTGGGCAGAGTACCTATAGGCAAGGGCATGCCATGTGGACAGAGGGAGAGGGAAAAAGATGAAGGGAAGGGGGATAGGAGAGGATAAGCTGAATTGCCAAACTAGAACTGGCCAGTTGGGTCCCCAGTGAGGCAGCTTGGACTACTCACAGCTTGTTGTTTGTCATTCGTTCTCAAAGAGGACCATGACATCAGGAAGATGAAGCCATGACTTGCAAG